CTACCATTTTATTCCTCTCTCATGTCAACATTCTGTAGTGATACGTTTTGTTTCCAGTGATACAACCAAGCAACTATTCTTGCCAGAGCCCATCAAAGGTGCTGTCATCACTGACTCTGTCCCCTTCCTGCTGCCTGTCTATAACTGAGGCTTGTTGTTGGCTTTTTTGGACACAGTTCTTTTAAAGCGAGTTCTATCAGTATCACCACTTCTTGCACAGAAGCTGCTTTCACCTATTTTTTGTTGTATACTTTGTTTTCTCAATATCAGAGTAAAAGGGTTTTACCTGTGGTTTTTTGTTTGCTTGTTTTTAGAAAGAGAGAGCTTGCATGCATGCGCAGGAGCGGGTGTAGAGGTGGGGGTGGGAGAGGGGCAGAGGGAGAGAAAGAAAGAATCTCTAGCAGGCTGCACACCCAGTCCAGCGCAGAGCCCAATGTGGGGCTTGATCCCAGGACCCCTGAGATCATTACCTGAGTCGAAATCAGGAATTGGACCCTTAACTGACTGAGCCACCCAGGTGCCCCTACCTGTGTTTTTATTGTAGACTTTTTGTCCTAAGACTCAAGAAAGAACACCCCAGTACTGGCCAGCTACTTACCTTATAGGATGTTGTACAAATTGAATTCAGGTTCTCATAGAATGACTCCTTTTCAGGGAAGTTTCTCAGACTTTTATGTAAATGGACTCCAGGAAAGCTTTCTTTACAAGTTTTCTTAATTTTTTTTTAATTTTATTTGTTTGAGAGAGAGAGAGAGAGAGAGAGCACGAGAGGGGGTAGGGTCAGAGGGAGAAGCAGGCTCCCTGCTGGGCAGGGAGCCCGATGCGGGACTCGATCCTGGGACTCCAGGATCATGACCTGAGCCGAAGGCAGTCGCTTAACCAACTGAGCCACCCAGGCGCCCTACAAGTTTTCTTTAAAAATGACTGAATCCGAGGATTATTCAGGTTATGATCCAGCTAAGTCAGTAGTTAACTCACTTACTTGAGATAAATTTTCTTTTTCTTTACTTTTCTACAACTATTCAGTGTTTAACAATTCAGCAGATTGTAGTTTCTCCCAAAAATTGCACATGATGAGTAAATGCTAACTTACATATCCCTTACAACCAAAGGCAACCATTTTTTCTATAGATGTTATATTATAGAATTTATAACTTTTATTATATCTAAAGTTATTCCCTCTCTACCCCAGCCCCAGTATATGAGGTGAGTGTGAATCCTTGTGTACCCTTGTTAACCTTCAAATGGAAAACTTAATACATGCTGAGGGTAAGCAACTCCATTGTGGCTCTCAAGACCAGAATTTTCACGTAAACAAATCTCGATCTCATTGGAGATTGCCCAGTGTTACACATGGTCTCGTGTCCAGTGAGTGAATGCTAACTGCAAACACAGAGGTCTGCTATGATACAGAACAGAAGTAATTTCTGTGCTCTAAAGAGTGCAAAAACTCTGAGATATACCACAGGGGCTGTGATAGAACCAGGTAAAGAATCTGGGGATCTAGATCCCTCCTAGCTTCAACAAGAGTGGTGTTGCTGTCTCCTGCTTTGCATGGAGTTCCATATAAGATCCTTTCCCTCTTCCCCTTTCTCTCCCTCCCTTCCACAGTGCCTCCTTCCATTGTTCTGTACGTTTCTTCTGCTCTCCCTCTCTTCCTTAATTCCTTCTGTCCTCCCTTTCTCACCTCCCCCTTCTTCTCTCTCTTCTTCTCTTACTTATTCCTTCTTTTCCTGAGTTTGGAGAAAAAACTGTAGAACAATAGAATGTTGAATGCCAGTCACTCCTATTCTCATCATTTAGAATAACTGATCTTTAACATGCTTTTCAATTTGTTTTTGAAAGGAATGTGTCATTTGGCTAACGTAGTAGACCCCTTTGCTATTACGCTCTTGACTCACCTCAACACACTTTTACTCACAGAAAAGAAACTGCTGTTTATGAGTTGGCATAAACTTTGGGTGTTCTTTTAGTTGTTGTAAAACAAAAATATATAGTCTGTTAAAAAATATTTAACAGGTCAAAAATCATGCAGTGGAAATGAGTCTTCCTTCTATCCCTGACTTACAGCCCTTTTCCCTCAATAACTTCTGTGTCTTCTCAGAAGTATTCTGTGCACTTATATATACCTGTATGCTCATATTTTCAGTTGAATAGAGTTGCAATACACAAATTCTTAGGCATTCTGCTTTCCCACTTATTGTGAGATCTTTCTATGTCACTGTATATAGATCATTGTTTCAAGAAACTTCTTAGTTTCTGTTATAATGATGTTACATAATTTATTTACTAATTCCCCAATGATAAATATTTAGGTTACTTCTACTCTTTTGCTATTATAAGGAATGCATAATCAATAACTTTTATTTTTTATTGTTTTCTATGAAATAAGGTTCTAATAATGGATTTTCTAGTTAATGTGTTTATGCATGTTTACTATTGATCAGTGTTGTGGATAGGCCCTCCAAAACGTGACACTAGTTTACACATTGCACACACACACATAAATATATACACGTAAGAGCTGTATTTTCCTCTCCAACATTATATATTGCCAAACTGTTAAAATAAGATTTAATTTGAAAAAAAAGAGTATTTATTCTAAACACACTAGAAAACAACTGGCACAATAAGAAATGTCAATAAACTAGAAACAGCAGACCTAGGACCCAGGCCAGACATTGCCATGTTTTAGCAGTATGATCCTGGGCAAATTACCCTTAATCTATCAGAGTTTCATTTTTTTCATTTATGAAGGATCTTTTGTTTGTTTTTGTTTGTGTTAACATATAGAAAAATGCACAGACCTTAAGTATATATTTTATTAAGTTTTGACAAGTGTGAAGATCATGCAACTACCATGTTGATCAATATTAGAATATTTTCCTCATTCCAGAAATTTTTCTGATGACACTTTTTTTGTGAATCCCACCCACCTGCTACCTCTATCTCTCTATCACATAGACTAGTTGCTTTTTTTTTTAAGCTTTATTTATTTGAGAGAAAGAGAGAGAGAAAGAGAGCATGAGCAGGGGGAAGGACGGAGGGAGAAGGAGAGTGAATCTCAAGCAGACTCCACATTGAGCTCGGAGTCCTATATGGGCTTTATCCCATGACACTGAGATCATGACCTGAGCTGAGATCAAGAGTTGAATGCTCAACTGACTGAGCTGCTCAGGTGCCCTAGTTTGTGTTTTTTTTTTTTAAGAAATTTATATAAATGAAATTATACAATATTTACATAGTTTATATATGGCTTCTTTCACTCACGGTGTTTGAAATTCATATATGTTGTGTGATTAGTAATTTGTTTCTTTGTGTTTCATTGTATAAATATATCATAATTTGTTAATTCATTTTCCTGCAGTGATGGACATTTTCAGTTTGGGTATATTATGAACAAAACTGCTGTAAGCATTCTTTCACCAGCCTTTATATTTTGGAAGGCATTTGCACTCATTTCTCTTGGATATATATCTAGGAACAGAATTGCTGGATCACAGGCTAGTTGTAGGAAATAGCTAAGGAGTTGTCAGACACTTTGTAAGAGTGGTTGTACCATTATACTTTCTCACGATCAATGTATGAGAATTTAAGGTGACCTACATTCCCAGAAATATTTGGTATTTTCAATCTTAAAAAGTTAGCCAACGTAGTCTGTGTAAAATGGTATCTAATGTTTTTTAATTTACATTTTCTTGACCATTGATGATGCTGACTATCTTTTCATGTGCTTGTTAATCATTTGTTCATCTTTTATTGTGAAGTTTCTGTTAAAAGCTTTTGCCCACTTTTAAATGGGGTTGTTTTTATTTGGGGGGTATAAGTTATATTGGTTATGTTATAGATATAAGTCCTTTGACATACCTATGTGTTGTATTTTCCTCTCAGTTTGTGGCTTCATTATTTATTTTCTTAGTGGTATCTCTTGATTAGCAGAAGATTTCATGTTGGATTTTTTTCCAATACATGGAAAAATAGACAATATATGGTGATCTAGTTAAAAAAAGTTAAATGGAATAGTTATTTCTTATACTGGAATAAATGCTTTGTATGAACAGAATGCATTGTGGCCCAGTATTATATGTTTCAACAAGCATGCAAACAAGCAAGTATCCGTCTAATGGTAGTATGTTCTGACTCAGTTTTACAGATAAAGGGTTTGTGATTCATGGTAAGACTGAAATAAACAGAAATTTTGACTGCAAAATGGCTGCACTGAGTTTGTAATTTAAGGGTATATTCCCAGAATATGGGAATGTGATGTTAAATATACATATAACATAGGTGTATTTGTTCATTGCAGTAGGGAGGGTGAGGGTGTTTCTTGACAGTAACGGCCAGAATTCATAAGAGTAAAATCATATCTATTTGATAAGTCATTCACTCAAAATTAAGCTACTTTTTAAAAAATTGTATTAACATATAATGTATTATTTGTTTCAGGGGTACAGGTCTGTGATTCATCAGTCTTACACAATTCACAGTGCTCACCATAGTACACACCCTCCCCAATGTCCATCACCCAGCCACCCCATCCCTCTGACCCCCCTCCACTATTTAAAATAGACCAAGGATACATTATTACCCAAAAAGAAAAAACAGTGCCCCTGACTTTATGGCAGATATATTGTATTTGGAAGAGAGAGTCAATGAATAAATAAGTAAAAAGGCAAACAAAATTGTAAGTTAGAAGCTGATTGGCATTGTTGAAAAAAAATAGAGCGTTGATGGAGGTATATGGACTCCTGAGGATGAAGAATAAAGTCACAATTTTATATCAGGTAATCAGGGAAGCATTATTGTGGTGATGAAGAGCCTTGAATCAAGTGAGAGTGAGCCTGTGCATAGCTTTTAGCTACAAAGAATAGCCAGTTCAAAGGCCCTGAGCTGGCAGCTTGCTGGGTGGGTTCGAGGACAAATATAGAACAGAAAAAGCAAAACAGGAAATAGTTGTGGCTTGAAATCAGAGCCAAAGAGATAGATTGTGTTTAGAATATGTGCAGCCCTGAAAAGTAGTGTAAGGACTTTGACAAGAATGTGTTTGCATGGCCACTAACCTTCCTGGGAGAGAGACAGGTAAATGGTAGTCTTCCTTTGCAAACTGGGGTGGAATTTGTTTCTGCCACAAGTGGAAAAGTACATTTTGGGATGAGATCAGGGCGTGAATATGTGGGGGGATGGAGCTGGGGTAAATTATCTGGCAAGGCTAGACCACAGGATAAGGTATTCCAAGTTTATTCTTTAACCACATGAGCTTCTACAATTAGTGTCTGAGAAATACAATTTCTCTACAACTGCATTTGAGTGTCTTAGATTTCTGAAATATTTATTTTTCATTAATTTTCTATTCTTTATAGTAAGCCAGTATGTTAACTATATACATTTATATGTATATATAAATATGTACATAAATATGTATGTTAGTTATATATATATAACTATAACATTTACTTAATTATTTTCCTTTCAATAAACACTTTGATTGTTTCCAGGTTCTGCTAAGACAAACTAGACCTCCATGAACATCTGTGTGATGACTCTTTATGTATATGTGCAAGATTTTCTCAAGGCTTTATTTCTAGAAGTTGAATATTGGTGTCGTGGGATATGCACATCTTTGATTTCTACCAGATAATGTCAAATCATTTTCCAAAGTTATTTTATCAAATTACAGTTTACCAACATTGTTCTGCATCCTCACAAACACTTAGTATTGTCAGCCTTTTAAATACCTTCTGTCTGGTGGGTGTAAAATTGTATTACATTGTGTCTGTAAGAGGCATTTTTACAAAGACTAATTAGGTTGAGTATCTTTTCATGTGTTTATTGGAACAGATGTATTTTCTCTTTCAAGAAATGCTTTTTTTTTCATTTTCTATTGAATTAATAATTTGTATTTAATATGTAAAAATTATCTGTAGTCTCTGGGTACCAATATTTGTTCAGCTGTTATTTTTAAAATATTTGTTTTTTTCATTTTATATTTTGTCTAATAGTGCCTTTGATTAACAGACATCATTAATTCCTACCTCCTGTTTCCTTTTAAAAGTTTTAATTTTGCTATATATTTGGTCTTCATGGAAATGATTTTGTATAGGATGTGAGATAGGAATACCAATTAGGAGAAAAATAAAGAAATACCAATTAGTTTTTTAAAGTAATGTCAACTAATTTTCCTAGCATATTTTTAAGTCTGTAATTTTCCTATTTATTGGTAGTGGTAGTTCTATAATATATCAATTTGGCATATATGTGTAAGTTTGGGTACTGTAGTCTGTTCCACTTATTATAACTTTGTCTTAATTTATATATATATATATATATATATAAACTCAAGTCTCAACATATGGCAGAGCAACTTTGCAATTCTATTCTAGGTGTGACTTGGACCTAGGTCTTCCATACAAATTTTAGAGTTGTTAAACAAATAAACAAAAAGACAAAATAGCTGATATAGTGATGATTGAAGTTGCATTGATTCTATATGTCACTTTGGAGAAATTTGACATATTGGTAATATTGAGTCTAATCTTGCCATAATTTGAAATTCATTTAGATATTCTTTAATGTCTTGTAATAAAGTTTTATAATTGTAGTTTTAGTCCTAGTATTTTAAATGTTTTAGCATGGCCCACACTCACCTTTCTATACTCTCTCTCTACTGCTGGAGCTAGATGCTTGAAAAATGCATTTCCCAGAATGCCGTGAGAACTGGTCTATGATTAGCTTCTGCCAAAGGCAACGCTCTCAAAAAAAAGAGCGAGAAGGAAGCCAGAGTAAAGTAGAAGCCACAGGCTTCCACAGGCAACTCTGGGCAACAGCCAAAGGAGCAATTACTTTAGGAAACTGAGGATTCTAGCAAAGGTGGTGGTGGTAACTGGAAGCAAATTCTGGTTCTGTGGTGACTAGGTAGTAACTTGGGGCAGAGGCACTTGGGCTCGGAAGAATGTAGGGTTTGGCAAGGCTGGAGTCTCCTATAGGAATGCCCAGCACTGGGGTAGATCATCAGATCTCCTTCTGGAGTAGTAGTTGCTTCCTATGGTCCCTGATCTCCTTCCCTGGCCTCCCTGGTCTCTCTATGATACCATGTAACCTCCATTGCTTCTGTACTCCACCCAACAATTTAGTAACTTAATTGCTGGCATTAAAACCCTCTCTGTCATTTTTGCTCTCCTGAATTATACATTAATTATAATTATTTATCTATAGATTTTTGGTTTCTTATTGAAAGTATCGTAAGGTACCCATTTTGAAATATTTCTTTCTTCTTTTTAAATTCTTACATATTATTTCTTTATTTTCTCCTTTTACTCTGAGTAGAACCTTCTGTAAAAGATGGGATACAGTTGTTCACAGTGGATATCCATAGTCTGGATTTATAATGTCTGGAATAAATTATTTTAATATATTTTATGGGTAAGCTTAGAGTAAGTGTTCTTTATCATATTTTGAAAATTTCCTTTTTTCCCCTTATGTTAAGGGACTTAACATGAAAGATTATAGATTGGTAGTTTACATTTTTCTCTCTGCAGTTATCAAAATGATTATTTAGATTTTTTTTCCTTTAGTTTCTTAATGTGGTGAATTACATTAACTCTTTGTGTTTAATCAATCCTGAAATTCTGGGTTAACCTCAAATTCTTCATAATGCTATCCTATTGTTTGCTGATTTTGCTTTTGGATTTTTGTATCTATATTCAAGAATGAGATTTATCTGAAAATTTTCTCTCTCATACTGTCCCGATCTGGTTTGGTATTAATGTTATACTAATCCCATAAATGAGTTGTGACATATTTCCCCTCTTCTTTTTTGAGGCAAAGCTCATCATCTATTTTGTCATATTTAGTAGGACTCACCAATAAAGCCAGGTAAGTCTGGTGTATTTTTGTGGGAAGACTTAATTTGATGCATTAATTTTGTTAGTAGTTATAGGCTACGCAGATTATCTATTCGTTTTTGAAGGGTTTGTTAACTGAACTTTTTCTAGGAGTTTCTTAATTGCACCTAACTTTTAAAATGTTTGACATAATGTTTTTCAGCTTTCTTAGATTCTTTGCCATAAATCTACCTCACTAGAAGCTGTTGATGGCTGTTAACTGCGACATGTGTTCATTCCTATTTTGTCTAAAGTCTGCTTTGATAACATTGACAGCCACTCCAAGAATGTTGTCTACTATGTCTTGCAAAATTTAAAAGCCTACGACACTGTAAAGAATATTCAAATTCTGAGAGTTCTCAATCTGCCAAGGACACATTGTATTTTTTTTCTTTTTGCATACACATGGACAACTCCTTTCTCTTTTTCTCTCACACACATTTTCACCACAATACTGGAGCACTGATTCCTAAGCCTGTATTTCAGAGTCCCTCGAGGCCATACTGGTCTCAGACGTAGTGTTCAGGTTCTCTCCCCTTAAGGTTCCTGCAGAGGTGAGGAATGGCTGGGGAACTATCTTCAAAACAGACCCAGCTCTTCTCCATTCTCTACTTTTTCTTCCCAGGCTTAGATATTACAAACATTCCTTCAGCTAGTGGATCTACAAATCCACTTTTAGAGGCTGCATCAACCAGTTACGCGATGAGATGTATCAAGACATACTGATCAATGACTATAACAGATGTTTATTACAAGCCTATTTTGGATTGGGCCCTGTTCTAGGTTTGGAGATGCAGGAGAAGACAGGACTGTGTGTTGCCTGCTTTCTTAGAACTTATATTCTCTTTGGAGGAAGTGCAAAAATAGTATTAATGAAACAATAGTAAACCAGAAAATGACTTTAGAATCAGAATAATTGGTAGATATTGATAATTACTATGAAAACTTAAGAATGACTGGTAGCAATTTGGGGTAAGGGGGACATTTGGAGTTTCTAGGTTAAACTGGATTGTCAAAAAAGCCACGAGAGGTAACAATGAGGCTAGATCCAATTTCCAAGATGAAGCTGCTAATGGTGATAGGAACGAAGTGGCCCAGTTAGAGAAAAGAACACATCCCCATGGTGAGTATGAGTTAGAGGTATCCCAGGAATAGAGTGGTCCTATGAGACAAGCAACATTTCTTCCTATTAAACCTATTGCATGATCTTCATTTATATTTTTCATATTAACTTTAAATTTTTCTTCATAGAGATCTTGCCCAGTTTTTTAAGTTTATTCTCAAGTACTTATAATTTTATTTTCTATTATAAATGCATTTTTAATTTTTCCTATAGAACTTCAGGAGCTCTATTTCCTTTTATTTTTTTATTTTTTTAAAGATTTTATTTATTTATTTGACAGAGAGAGACACAGCGAGAGAGGGAACACAAGCAGGGGTAGTGGGAGAGGGAGAAGCAGGCTTCCCAGAGAGCAGGGAGCCCGATGCAAGGCTCGATCCCAGGACCCTGGGATCATGACCTGAGCCAAAGGCAGATGCTTAACAACTGAGCCACCCAGGCTCCCCTCTATTTCCTTTTAATTTTAATGAAAATGTCTTAAAATTTTTGCCATTAAATAAAATCTTAATTACTTGTCTTAAATATTATTCCTTAACATATTATGGAAGTAACTTCCACATCAAGTCAGTCAAGAGTTTTATGAGGAATACATGATAAATTTAATCAAACTTAATTTTTAAGATTTAAAAATATATAATTATTCTACTTTCACTGTAGATATGATCAATAATATTAGTAAGTTTGACTTCAATAATGAACTCTAATTGATAATGTTATCTTAATATTTTAAGTTATTATTGAGTTAAATTTGTTAGTACTTAATTTGTAACTATTATTAATGGCTTTGGTTTTCTAACCATAATTTAAATATTATTTGTGGAATATTTAAAACTTTCTACGTAGCAGAATCATGTTATTAATTTTCAAATAGAATTTCTGTTTTTGTTGTTGTAGTTACAGATTTTTACTGGGACACACTTTCTACATTTGAAATTTTATAAAGGCATCGCAAGTTCTTGAAAAAAAAATCTAGTCTCTTTTGATTACAATATTTGACAAATCTATATTTGTGTACTAATTAATGCATTCTGATGCTTGGTAATTGTATTGATCATTTATTAGAATAGCCTGTCACAGAG